AGGGGTGGGATGAGAATGATAATAGTGACGAGCCTGACCAAGGTGAGGGAGAGGATGATCATGAAGGAGCAGGAAATGATGAAGCCGGTGATGCGGATGATGAAGAACAGGGCGCTAATGAAGAAGGTGAGGAGGAAGCTGAGGGTGAGGATGATGAAATCGTCGAGGTTTCCAAGCAACCTTCCTCAAGCGTGCACATGTCGCAAAAGCGCGAGCGGCTAGCCGAAATACAGAATGAGATTGCGGAGCTTGAATGCAAGCTTCGTCAGTGACTCAACTGAATAATATACAGCATTGGATTGGGTACCCCTGCACATGTATTGTGTGCATGCTGCATTGGGGATTCTGTGTATTGATGCTGCTTCACAAGGTCGGCGGCTGAATCTCCGCCTCGTCTTCGTCGCTGCTACTTGCTACGCATGACTGTATGTGTCTGTGCATTGCAGAGGGTATCGTGGATTTCAGCTGAGTGGTGTAGCTTTCTGAGGTGAGCCGATAGAGATCGAGGACACCCCCGCCCCGGTTCCTGCTCCCAAGAAGAATCCTCCCATACTTCGCCGAGCCCGAAGCAAACGCGGCAATCCTGACCTCGAGGACTGGATATACCCTTATATCAGGAAAACATGTCAAATATGTATTGCGATTTCCCACATGTGTGTAAGATTGTTATTTTTGCTTTCACAGGAGACGCAGATCTTGCCAGATCCTGATATGGAGCCCGAATCCACGGCCCTGGTGATAGAGGCTCCTGATGTTACTTGGATGCAAAAAATACCTGCGGGCATAATCTATAGGATCCGCATGTCAAACTTCAACTCTACATCGATCTGGAAACGAGGTTTCTGGTCCTGTCGTGACCGCCCAGGAGCAGAATGCATTGAGAGCCGCACGCCGGCCGGCAAAGCGTGGCAGAAAGGGATGCAAGGCATCGCCAAAGGCGAAAGCAAAGGCCAAAGCAAAGGCTAGTGCAAGAACCACGAAGAAAGGTAACGGTGCTGCCAAAGCAAAAGCCAAAGGCAAGGCTAAGTCAGTGCCAGCTCCAAGTGCAGCCGCACGTGGAGATGAAGATGAGCCGGTCGCAGCCGCAGTCCCCAGGAAGGGCAAGGGCCGTGGACGTGGAGATGAGTCGGTTGCAGCCGCAGTCCCCGCTAAGGGCAAGGGCCGTGGACGTGGAGGTGCGTCGGTTGCAGTCGCAAAGGGCAAAGGCCGCGGTCGCGGCCGTGGAGATGAGTCTGTCGCAGCGGCAGTCCCCGCTAAGGGCAAGGGCCGTGGACGTGGCAATCAGGCGGCCATTGTTCCCGCCAAAGGTGGGGGACGTGGCCGTGGACGTGGCCGTGGCCGTGGTGAGCGAGCTGTGCCCACTGCTGCTGACTTCGGCATCCATGATCGTCAGCTCGGATGCCCACGATGCAGATTTGGCAGGACTGGTTGCGCAACCTGTCGTGACCCGACCTATGTCTACCGAGGAACTCGTGGCCGTCCTAGAGCTGAGACTGGCAATGAAGAGTGATTTGTGTCGCCTCAAGTTTTCCTTGCAGCAGCCTGATCAGGAGGGATTAGGTTCGATGGTATGTGCAAACAGGGTGATCCTTGAACGCACGGGGTAGTAGCCCAGGTAGTCCCCACAAACACGACATCTTGCCACATATATGTGTTGTGCATATGTATATATATACAACTTTGTGCAGTTAACATCCATTCTATGGTGATCAGTGTTGTGTGGGCCAACCTGTGCTTTAGGGGAAATTTGTGCTATGTGTGCGACCTACATGCTGCCGGCAAAGCTCGATGAAGGGGTTCGTGGAAAACTGCCTGTTGTTCACAGTATACATGAGCTCGTGATTAAAAAATCGCACCGGTCCTGCCGCCAGGTACTTCGAGTCATTCATGAGCGTGGCCTGGAGGCGGCGGCACCCAGGATCTTCAGGATCGTTGAAACGTGCATCCCCCCGTGCAGCGTGTGCCAGTTAGTGCCCAGCAGTCTTGTGTTGCAAAACCATGCGCGAACTATGGCCACTTTAGCTGTCAAAGCTTCTGATTAGTGTACTATACATATCCGAGCCATGGCCAGCAGAGCCGTGGCATTATCGACCTTGAAGAGCCTCCTGCGTGTCTCTGCCCCCGGAGCTCCATGATGCAATCCAGAACGAGTTGAAACTGCTAGCCTACGATGCCTTTGGAATTCTGATCCCAGGTTCTCATCCTATGCATCCTTTTGATCCTTCGAACGGAGGGCCTCGATCTCGAGCAGGCTCTGCAACGTGGCAGTCGAAGATGTGTAGTGAATCTGATTTCGCCTCGGCTGTAGATTTCTTGCAATGAGGTTCTGGATGGGTCTGAGATATGCGCGGGGACAGGAATGTTGAGTCGAGTCCTACAGCTGCATGGCCTTAATATCCCAGCGATGGATATCTCCTATTGGAAGAATCATATCACTTCCCGCCCGTTGGTGAACAATCCATTGGATCTTCTGGGGAATGCAGGATTTGTGCACCTAGGCTTCATTTGGATGCTCTTAAGTATTGACTATATACAGTATATGTCATTCTAAGGCTGGTCTTGATTCAAGCGCTGAAAGCCAAGCCGGCATCCACCTTCCATTTCGGATTGGTCTGCTCCAGTTGGGTGTCGGTGTGCATGAACTCTTCTGGCCGAAGTTTCTTAAACCCCAATGGATTTTGCGATCTGAGCTGGGTTTCCGATGGAAACCTGATGGTCTCAAGGCTAGTGCATATGCATTTGAACAGTCCAGTGGGAACGTTAGTCGGTAGTTTGTGTGGTTCTTTCTGCCTTACCCTGGAGGTTCTGCTTGATCGCTTGGCTACTGATGGCTCGAGGCTGTCACTTTTGCCTGGAGCAACCGGTGAGTTCATTAATGTACCGCCACCGACGATTTCAAGAGCTTTGCCAGGCTGTGGTAGTGCTCCAGTTGAACACAACTTATGAAATATATATACACATATACACAAAAATAATATATGCATCTATCTATCTATCTATATATATATATATGTATATACGTATGTATATATATATATATATATATTCACTTATAAACATGCACATCTGTTGTTTTCTGAGTGCATTATGCATATATTTATGTATAACTGTATATATATATATATATGCATATAGAAAATTTATCTCACAAGCATATACACATGCACACCCATACATTGTGTCCCTGTGTGGTATCATTAATATTCTACATGTCCGAAGTCTACGCATGCATCTGTACATACATCTACGTGTCTTTATATATATATATACACACACATATACTCATATATTCATATATACATATGACATACACACATATACACATGTGCATGTGGATCTGTATGTACACATAGATCTACATAACACACATACATATACTTACAGATAGACAAGTTGACGTATGTATATATGTATATATATATATATACATATACATGTTTGCTCATGATATATTTATATATAATATGTATATATACATAAATAGATGTATGTGGGTATATATGTTCATGTGCATATATTTATACATACACACACGTATATATATAGATATATATATATATATATATGTGCATACCTTTATACATACGCACATATACACACACCCACATGTTTAGTACATGTATATATTTGCAATAAACTCACCTCTTCACGCAGCCAAGACCCAGCCATCTGAGGTATATCGCCAAGCATTCTGGCTGGGACGATTGGGTGCGAAGACACCCAAACGATCGGTCCTTTGGTCTTCATCCCGGGCAATCTTAGACTTTCGCAGATATGCCAGGCTTACCAAGAAGGAAAGGGAGCGGTGTCGTGGGAATCTAGTTCATCGATACCGGGACGCTTCGGGCAAGGTTCGCTATACTGGCAACAAGAACCTAAAAGGATCCCAGTGCTATGTCCGCATTATTCCTCTGCAAGGTATCTCGCTGTCAACCTGCTATTGTAATAAGCCCCAAATAAATACCATCTAAGGCGATACCCCTTCGCCTTTGCCATGCGATTCGCGAAACTTTGGCCTGCTTTCCGAGCATCCAGTGTCCAATGGAGGCACCCCATGCAGCAGGCAGGTCCAGTGATGTCCCGGCTTCCTGAGTTCATGGGTCTGCAATATCAAGATATATAAGTCACGGAAGGTTCCCGACGACTTCGGCTACTCCCACGCGAAAGAAGCTCTCTATGAGAAAGTCCCAAAGGATTTGTGGAAGGATGCACGAATCGGAGATGTTCTGGAGTACTTGTATGCCAACAAAAAATTACGACTGAGGGAGGACCAAAAACAATTGGTCCGCGATTTGGCAAAGGACTTTGCCTGACACAGCTCCTGAGAGCCGGCCGAAGAAACCGACGCTGCTATGTTGAGTGGGTTTAAGGTTTCCAGAGTTATATATATATATATATGTATATAAACTAAGGTATATATGTTGTGTATACTTATATGTATCTTTTCATATTGTTGGGCTATGCTTTGTCGGGTTCCCTTATACATACCCATATGGTATGTAATAAGATATCTCAATCTGATGGCAGGAAGAGTAAGTGTATATATATATATATAACATATATATATATATATGAGAGAGAGAGAGAGAGAGAGAGAGAGAGAGAGAGACAGAGGGAGGATGATTTTCTTATAATCGTGCAGGCTGCTTTAATGGTCTATATATAGTTCCATATGGCAGGGTCTCTTCAGATCGAGTCGCGGGGTTTTTGAGGCTTCTTTAGGGGGCTGCGGGTTTTTACGGTGTTTGGTCCGGTTCGTGGGGTCTGGTTGGGTCTAGCGGTGATTTGTTTGGTTTAAAAGAGACTATATAGGCCTACTTTCGATATTTTATGGTTTTAAGGCATTATAAAGCACTTTTAGACAACAAACGCAGTGCCGTAAAAAAGCGTACAGTGCCATAAAAAAGCGTCATAGTGCCATAAAAAAGCGTAATCCCGCAGTGACCTAAAACACGCACTCCCCGCAGCGGTTTTGCAGGCTTTGTGATAGCTTGGTAGGGATGGTGAAAGGACAGCCCCTGCGCTTGTGTTCCAAGTCGCACAGTTGTGCTACTCTTTATGCCGGCCAATCCTTTATGAAGGGTCAGTATGTGAAACAAGAACCCGAGAACATCGAGGACGACCTACGTGCAACCTTGCTGCAACGATCTGATCTGTAGCCCAGACCTATATATCTAATATTGGCAATCCACCCACAAAACCGAATATGTACCACCCTATGTAGCCCAGGCAGCGACGCAGCGGCTGGCTGAGCTCAGAGACAAGGCTCGAAAGATCGAGTCCGAGTTGCCAGTCCTGCCTCGGAAGGAGGCGCTTGCATCCCCGGTGGTGCCAGCTACCCGGCCTGTTGCCACCCCAGCCCGTGGAGTGTCAACCGATGCTCAACCTGGCTCGCAACAGCTTTGGGAAGCAGCCTTCCCAAACAGGGCTGAGCCTGATGGGGACGAGTCAGGTGTGCCTGGCTTTATGGAAGCGGATCGTGCCGGTGGGGGTCCCGCCGGTTCAGCTCAGGTTTCCGAGGAGCCTCCGAGAACCGAGGTTCTTAGTGGTGATGTGGAACCCAGACCTACCCATGAGCCCGAGCCCACTGACTCCGACGATGAGTTGATTATGGATGTGGATTGCGCATCTAGCCAGCACACATCAGAAAATGCATGATCCTAAATATACGATCCTTCAAACATATTGAACCAGGTAGCCCTGAACCAAAATATACCCAACTTTGCACCCGAATGGCCCAGGACTTTGAAGAGCTTGGCGAGCTCCTTCGAGCCAGCATCCCCGCGAAGGCGGAGCCCGAAGAAATGCCAGTGACGCCAACCGCAGCCTACCTTAATTCAGTCCGTCGATCGGTGTTTTGATGCATGTCTTCATATAGGATCCTATAATAGCTTCTTTCTCGGTTAATGTAGATGATTGCAGGTGGCTGATTCGACTTTGGATGGAATCCATGATGTGTATTGGGAGCGAGCTCTTGATGATGGTCTTGAAGACACCCTGGCTTCAACAATGCCAACCTCCCCTGTGCCTCGAAAGTTGTTCGGAACTCCGCCCTCAAAGCCGACACTGCAGGTCCAGAATGGTTGCCTTCCAGGAACTCCGCCGGGCTCCGGCACAAAAGGCCTCAACCCCGGAGACTCCCCTACAAAGAGCAACCCTCGCAAAAACAAGCTTGGATCCCCGGAGGAGCCTTCGAACCCCAGGCATCGGAGCCCCGCTAAATCAGCGAAGAAATCCAAGTGTCGAAGCCCCAGCAAATCCCCAAAGAAGTCATCTGGCCGAAAGCGTCGAAGCCCCAGCAGATCCCCGAAGAAGTCACCTGGCCGAAAGCATCGAAACCACAGCAAATCCCCGAAGAAGTCATCTGGCCGAAAGCATCGAAGCCCCAGCAAATCCCCGAAGAAGTCATCTGGCCGAAAGCATCGTGATCGAAGCTCCAGCAAATCCCCGAAGAAGACATCTAGCCAAAAGCATCGTGATGAAAGCCCCAGCAGATCCCCGAAGAAGTCATCTGGTCGGAAGCGTGATCGGAGCCCCTGTGCATCTTCCTCGCCCAGGAGCCGGAAGCATCGGAGCCCCCATAAAACTACTGTGGCACATGACAACAGCAGTATCACCCCAGCCAGGAGCAAAAGCAGCCCCACACACACTTCCCCGAACAAGCCTTCTGAGAGCAAGCCCCGGCACCACAGTGCATCCCCTGCTACGACTGCCGGCACCCCTTCGACGGCTTTGAAGAAGAAGAACAAGAAGGTGCCCCAGCACTTAGACTTAAACCTATATATAGCTAATCTGTGAGCCCCTAAATATCTCTAAATTTCCCTGAATCCCTGCAGGACATGAGATCCAATACGATCCGCATCACCGCCCGCGAGTACAGAAATTATGAAGCCACGATGCGCCGAATGTGTACTCGATCCGCCAAACGTGGAACCTTGCAGGTGAGCGACGATGTTGCTGAGCGGTGGAAGAACACGAAATCCCGCAAGCAGCTTATCGTGGCACTCATAAACTGCAATGGCGACAAAGCCTCTCTACAGCAATCGTGGAAGCTATTCATGTGTGGCGTTCATGTTGCCCCTCGCTCTCTTTCTAGATTTATGCACATCTCAGGATTCGTTCAATCAGAAGATGGAAATCGTGATCCGCAACATCAAAGAGGGCAAGGTGGTCATTGACAGTGGCTACTACACAGAGTCTGCGATGAAGACCGAGCTGAAATTCGACAAGCAACCACCCATGCACAATCGAAATTGCTCTGATCTCTCATTGTACTGAAAACATGCTTGCCCAAGATACCGCTCCAACCAAGGGATCGTGTGAAAGCCGTAATCGCATACTGCACCGCGAGCAGAGCTCGCCGCCGGGCTTTGACAAGGCCTGCCCCGTGGCTTTTTTGTTATATAGGGCTTATGGTATTTTGTGTGGTTTCTATTTGTGCCAGGCGAGACAAGTACCAACGCCACCTCATCGAGTATTGGATCGATGTGCGGACTAGTGGGTCCCTGTCGCGGACCACGCAAGAACAGTTCTCTCAGTATGTTGAGATCATCGACGATCAGGTTTCGTTGCCCCCGCCTATGCTTGGAACCGAAGCCCTCCCATGCTATGATGAAGACGAACCCGAAGATGAAGAAACGGGTGATGATGATGATGCAGATCGTGAAGGCAAAACCGCCACTACGACCCCAGCGAGCAAGCGCAAGAGACGAGGAAAAACTCCAAGCCCCAAGGCGAAGTTGCTAAGCAGGCAAAAACGAGAAAAGGCAGAGGCCGTGGAGACCGCTTTGGAGGCACGCCGTTCCATTCAGCTGATTAACCTATATATGTATTATCGGGTTGAAAAATCATTTACTGTACATGATGTGCACTCACTTGGGTTGCTTCAGGACATCGAGAAGATTCCGCAGGTCTTAGGGGAGATCCTGAAAGTCCGAATCAAGATTGACAACACCCTCGATCTGATGAAAGGAGACGAGACTAAGACGAAGATATTTAGCTGCAGTATTCGTGACGTGATTTCTTGCATTTATTTATGGTTGTCAAGCATCAATGATCTGTGCCAGGCATGGGTCGAAATTGCAAGCCCAGGGGGAGGAGATCATGGCGCTGCATGATCATCTCGCTGAGATCAAGTGCGAAAATGGCAAAGGTGACCCAAAACCGGAGCCCCTGAACTGAGATTAGACCCTGAACGAACATTTCAGTGTACATATATATAGCATGAAAAAGTGTGTGTGTGTGTGCACTGAAGTCAGGACGATCGATAAGCTGAAAGAATACCTTGCTTCGGTGGAAAAGTTGTGCCCTGGACAGCATCCCTTGCACGCCTCCGCACACGCAGCCGATCTCGCTCCGCTGCTGACCTTATCCAAGGACAAGTCGCATCACGATGGAAGAGAAGAAGCTGAAAAGGACCGCTTGTGTTGTAATACACACCTATATATAGTTGAATTTTTATATTATTAAACCATATACCCCAAAACAACTCCTTAAGCTTTTTATCCCTACAACACACGATATACACAATACCGAAGCCCAAAAACCCGTATAAGCCCTAAAGCAAGCCCCGTATGCAATCTATATCCCAGGACTGTTCTGCGCCCCAAGGGAAAGGCGAAGGCCAAAGGCAAAAGCAAGAAGCGCGAGCCCCATGATGATGATGATGATGAAGAAGCCGAGAGTGAGGAGAAACACAAGCCTCCACCTGGCCCGAAAAGGCCGAAGGCCAAAGCTGTTGCTAAGACAGGAGCCAACAAAAAGAAGGGCTCCAAGTAGGTGCTAGCCCTTCTGTGCATCAACGCTTGCATCGATGTGTTTCATTAGCTGTATACAATATACTGGGTCCTTACATGAAACCTAGCTCTGGGGTTCCAAAAATAGATCCGTCTTGTAATAGCAGGATAGCTTGAAAGATACGCAGTGGGGCCAAGCTTTTCTCACCGCACGCACGAAAAGTCGTGGTGTGGATGCATAGCTTGCTTAGCATGTGTATGCAATGTTCCCGTAATCCTCTAGATCTACTCCGTGGGGTGAAAGCTAGGAGCTGAAAAGAACCGCTCAAGGAATGCATCGGTTGCCTCCGATTCCCTTTACAATTATATAGTGTCGACCCCGAAGTGATGCAGCGCAGGTGCTCGAGAAGTTGATCAACGACCGCTTGGTCGTGCATCCACGGCCTTGGCGAAAGCTCGTGGAGCAGGGGTCTGGGTATTGAAATGATTTCGAGTCCTATACACTGTATGAACCCCTGGATTGAATCCTCTTCATGGGTATTGGTTATGTAAATTCGTCGTTACGAACTCAGGTCGAAATTCGAGCTATAATTATGCTATAAAGACTACCCTCGAGTTGTAAAAGCCGGATAACATATTCGACCCCCATATTCCGAAGGAAAAATATCTGTATCCCTAAACACCCTAAAGCACCCCTGGAGGTTTCCGACCGGCTTCTATGTAGTATAGCAGCTGGCTTCGTGGACGAGTGCCATGATGCCGACCCTGATCTAGCTGAAAACCTTCGAAGCTCCAACCTACTTCGTGATCTGCACCGGAAATCCAAAACGAAGCATGAAAGTGCATGTGGGAGAACTTTCAAGAAGGAAGGGCTGTCTTGTCCTGTGCCTATTGAGAAAATCGATGTTGGTCGTGGCACAATGCACCCTGTCCTGAAGCTGAAAGATTTTATCACAGGATTGGCTTCGTGTGGCAAGCTTCCATTGCTGTGGGGCTCCAAAAATGCAACTGATCGTACGGACGTGCTGTCAAAGTTTTGGAGACGGTGGAGAGTCCATGATAGATCGCACGAGGTCTACGAGCATCATGGCAAGCACCTAGACTTGGTCTTCCCAATCCAAGTGCATGCCGACGAGGGTCAATCGGTCAAGAAGTCGGGGGTCATGGTGCTGAACTGGCAGTCACCCATCGGCTTCGGGGTCTCGACGCAAGATGATTGTGCAGCAGCTATGTCCGTCAACTTTGTTGGTAGTTCCTTCGCAACTCGCTTCATCTACACTATATGTCTCAAGCGATGCTATTCCAAAAAGAAGCGCTATGTCTTGGACGGCATATTCGAGAACTTAGCTTCAGAACTTGTGGACTTATTCTACAATGGCGTTTCTGTCAAGATTGGGGATCAGGAGCTAACCCTATATGCAGCTTTCGTTGGTCTTAAGGGGGATTGGCCAATACAAGCTCGGATGGGGAATCTCGTCAGGCATTTTGCCTGTAAAGGTGTTTACGAAGTGAGTGAGAAGAACAAAGGGTTTTGCCACCTCTGCTGTGCTGGTCAGATGGGCTATGATCCAAATGACTACGGTGAACGGGCTGCATGGAGGTCAACTTACCTGACAACTCGCCCCTGGAGTGAGGAAGGACCTCTTTGTAAAGTGCCACAGTCTGCTGCCAAAGAGTTCATCCACAAGTTCGATCTGTTCCACACCCTTCATAAGGGAGTTTTTGCTGAGCTGGCTGCATCTGCTCTCGTGACGTCTCTCAATATTAGCAGGTTTAGCTCTACTTTGGGATCTATGTGTATATATACTTTAAATACATAACGGAATTTATAAGGTGTCGAACCGTATAAAATGCAGGTTGTCATCACCGACTATGGGCTGGCTGGCACAGGCGACATTCCAGTTCAACTGGACACGATATACCAGATGGCCAAGGAACACTGCCGAGCTACAAAGACGCCCTTACACATGGATGGCCTGACGCGACATCTTCTCAAGTTCTCAGCGGATTACGAATATCCAACAGGGTCGGTTGACACCGGAATAGTACAGGTGTTTATGTACTGTTTTATAGTTTTGTTTTCGTTTTAGTTAAGGTGTCGTAGTTTCCGTTTCTATGCGAAATATAACAAACTTATAAGGAATTGGTTCAAGGGGGCCGATACCGCGGCCATGTGTTCTTTCACGGAAGCTTTCTGGGCGAAGCACATTGCAGGGCTTCCGGAACCCGATGAATACTTGAACGGCATCTTATGCAGCTTGCAAGCTGCAAATCGCTTTTTGCAAGGTATATACCACTCTGGACTTTGGTTGAGCAAAGACAGGACTCGCCTGATTGCGCAATCAGGCATCGACTTCTTGCGATTTTATCAGACAACCTCTCATCGTGCATTCAAGCTTCGGAAGACAAGGTTCAAGCTTACCCCAAAATTTCACGCTCTCATTCATATAATAGACGTGTTGGTGGTGGGGTGCAAGGACGGCCATCGCTGGACGCTATCTCCACTATCAGAGTCAACGCAAATGGATGAAGACCTGGTGGGGAAGGTGTCATTGATTACGACCAAAGTCTCTTCGCGAGCTCTTCACACTCAGACGCTGCAGCGGTACTTGATGGAGGTTTCGACGCATCTCCGGGAGTAAAAAAATCGAGGAAGGCGATGTATTCAAACCCAATACATCCAGAATCTCATTTACCCGTAATCTAGCCAACATAAATCAGGCACTACTCCTAAATCCCGTCTCTCAGACGCTCCTTTGGTCAGTCGCCTGTTATTTCCGGCTACCGGGTTTTTAAGGTATCCCTCCGGAGGGAGTAGCCGGCCCGACTTCCTGCTCTTCCGGCACAGCCGTGGGCAAGACGGTTGGGCTCCCTGGCTCCTCGCCCCCAGGACTAGCCGGAATCACCGTAGTAGCCGGAGACTGTGGGCTAGCCGTCCGCGAAGCAGAAGGGGGGCGCGGGGAGGCCATTCTCGCCTGGCTAGATAGCCAGGTTCCCCTTCTATTCCCCCTCTACTTCAAAATTACCCCCCCTGATGGGGGACTTGAGCCAAAATGGCTACGGTCTGGTCGTCGCTCGGCTAGCTCGCTAGCTATCTACTTTCGCACTACTATCGTCCTGGTGGAGTTCCGGGGATGGTGGTGGGATATAGGAGCTAGTGCACTGAATGTTTCCTTAGTGCGACTGTAGAGTGCCCGTAGTGTCGTTGAGACTGCCTCCTTGCTTCGAGTGTAGCAATGGCCCAACCCACAATGCCGACTGTTCCGGAAGTCCAGTGTGAGAATATTACTGGAGAGCAACTGGCAGTGGATTTGGCTGTCTTGACTGGCCGCCGTGTGGAAGACATCAGGAATGAAGGAGTGCAATCCTTACTGGTTGCACTGCGCCTGATTGGCGGAGTGCCTGAGAATCGCCAGGACCTTATCCGATTGGCGACTGGCGAGTCCCTAGTTCGCCCACCTGCATTTGTGAGAGTGCATGCTGAGCCTGGAGCGAATGTCCTTACGGTTGATGTTGATACATGTTGATATCGGAAATGGAGGTCCGACTGAGGCCCTTTCTGGAAACCAGCGGATTGACGCCGCACTGGGCATCCTCCCCGCTCCGGTGAATCAGCCGAATGTGGAGCAGACTGCTTGCGCCTCTGCCGGAGTGGCGCCGACTCCCAAACTGCCACCGGCTTGGAAGAGTGATGGAAAGGCTGGCTCGAATGACATTCCAGTCGAGTCGCTACACCTGATGTTTGAGACCTTGACGACGCACAGATTGTCGAGGAATGGTCCTGTGAATCGGGAAGTGTCAGCCGCGCTGTCCCGAATGGACTTTGGAAAGCAAGTGACTGCTCAGCGACTGGACTCCTATAGTTGCCACCCGCAATGAAGAGGATCAGATGGCCGACCGACTGTACAATGCACAGGTCGGACTGGCTGATCGAAGCTGTCTTCCGCCGCGAGTGGAATGATGACTGGGCTGCGATCCTGTCCCTTCTGATCTTCGGGACAAGGAGTGGAGGACTGTCGGGATGCAGATTTAATTTGAGCACCCGGATGAGAACTCCAATGGCCCAATTCGGCCCAATGTCGAGCTTGCGACTGCGAATGAACAGCTTGGGCATCACCCCGGTGCAGAAGTGCCCGAATGAGTGCATGGTCGAGACTGCCTGGTACGCAATGTCCAAGGCAGAGCGAATGTTTCTCACGAAGGGTGACTGGTGGGGAGAAGTTCTTCCAGACTGGCAGGATTGATTTGTCGCAGTTCCCATGCCACCAGCTGAATCGGAGCTTCTGCGCACTGCCAGCAATACGCAAAATTGCGCGATGGTACTGCCAAGGATGCTTTTCGACGAGACTGCGACCTATGATGGATTGGTCTTCGTACTGCGTCGGAGATCAAAGAATTATGCGGCGAGAAATCGAACAAGAAAATGAAGCTGGAGAATTATTTCAATCGCCAGTTCACTGACTACATCTCGACCCAGAATGGCACCCCAGAGAATCCTGAGGAGCACGCTGGCGTCGCGAATGTTCCCAGGAAGTGGACTGATGATGTGACATGATGTTCCGCTCGAATGGCAGCCCGCTTCTCTGCCTCGCGGAGATGGTGGCATTGGAGCCGCTTGGCCACTGTGATTCCCAATGGCCTGATCGAGTGGCGCTTGATGGGACACACAATGGTCCCACTGATGCAAGCGAGTGCTTCCGGATTGCATCATGACTGTTCCATTTGGGATGAGCTGTATGAGGATGATGATGGCGAGCTTGTGAATGCCTGGATAGGTCCCGCCTCCTCGAGTGCAGGAATGCCATCGAAGAAGGCAAAGACAATGACACCGTCGAGCTCGGCGACTGCCCTCGCAAGTGTCGCGAATGCACTTGTTCCTGGAGCTGAAGTGGTGCTCCGGATGAATGCGAATGCCAAGGCCAAGTGAGCCGCACTGAGTCGCATCAGAAATTAGGGAGTGCCTCGGAGTGCCACATGTTTTGGAATGTGAAGTCTATTTTGACATGTTGAATGGGTTGGTTCGGTGGATTGCAGAGAATGACGTTCTCGGATTCAATGTTGTACAGAACATTGCGCGACTGTGGGCACGACCACTGTACAGTGCAATGTGCCTCCACAATAGTTTCTCGGATCTCAGCAATGTCCTGAATGAGCACAATGCGATTGTTCGTTTTCTTTCGAATGCTGGTACCTGCTTACTGAATGCTATGATGACTGTTTATTCATTGGTTCGTGATCTGAATGATCTTCGACTGAAGTCAAGATCAAGGGACTGTGTTAAATGACACGGGCCCAATGACCCTATAATGTTCAAGCTGCATTTGTGAATGCAACAATGCCGAATGGCATTGGCTCAAGATTGGACGACTGCTCGGGTGCACAAAAATGTGACTGGGGAAAGTGATTGATCTTGGTTGGTTATAGCTATTTGGATTGTATAGTGGAATTTTGCTCTCGCTCTCTCTCTCTCGCGCGTTCTCGCGCTGACTCAGCTCAGCAGAATTGCAGCTCCAACATTGCAGATTGCTTCTCGCAAGTTCCGAAGGCAAACTGCCCCAACTTCCAGACAACAGCGGATGGTGTCCTGTCCACAAGGACTCCAGATATCTGGAGTGAGTCGCTTGCAGCTTCGCAGATGGTTGACCCTATTTGTGGATTTCGCCTGGTGCTTGACACAGAGGTTGCAGGCTTTTGGTGTGTGGCTTCATTAAACTCTGAAGTCTGGAAGGTAACCCATGCCAGCGGCTGTCACGCATTAGGATATGCTGTTTTGTGGAAGCCGCTGAAAAACCATACGCATACTTGTGGAAAGCCGGTCGCAAGCCTAGGTGAAACTCCGGGACTTGCAAGCCAAGCGTCGAGATGCCGCTCACCGAGAATCGCTCCGCGAGAATCGCCGCGTGAGACCCTGGAGCAAGGTAGGAACACGTTCACGCGGCGGTGTGTTTCCCGCTCTCAGCATGCACGCCTCAGATTCAGGTGCATGCGCTTTCATCTCGGTTTAAGTCAAGCCGAAGCCCAAAGATGATATACACAACAGGACCCTTCGTTTTGGTGTGAAGCTAGATGTGCTCAGACTTTTCAGGTGCGCGCGATGACCAGCGAAGTTACGGCTTGCGCCAGTATGAAGGCCGGCATTTCTTCGGCAGGCACTTCAATTTGCACGTCCAGAATCAGCACCTTGCCCTGTCCTATGCCAAGACGGCGGACTTCTTGTCGTTATTACGCACTAGCCAAGTTCTGCAGCAGCATTGTTCCGGCAGAAGAGCAACAATCCCACACAAGCAGAATTAAACAAGCACTTGCTCTGGGAGAAGCAGATCCCCAAAGTTCCGTCAGCTGGCAGCAGGGCTGCTTTTGGTCTTCTCTGTCGAAGGACGGTACGTTCCTATGCTCTGCATCTGTTTGTTTGGACTCTGCAGTTTCGTCCGCGCGCCGTGGGGCGTTGGCCGGACTTGGAGCAATACATGCTTGGAGATATCGGAAGCCCCAAGTTCAAAGGGTGACCGAAGAGGGTTTCAGCACAAGGTGTTTGGTGTGCCTGCGAGGAAACTGCTGCACCTTCTGCGGCCGGCGTGTCGCAGGAGTGCTCAAGAAAAGAAGCGCAGCACGCAGAGGCAGAGAAGCCCTGCGGTCTTCACGACAATGCGTGAACGGGATGCCCATCCTGCCCTTGCAGCCAATGCCCTGAGCCCCGGTCCCGGCGGTTCCGGCAGGAGCTTCCCGGGTTCGAAAACGTGGTTGAGATCGAAGCTTCACTCCTCGAAAGCTGGAAGTCTTGGAGCGGCCCCCGCTTAAGGGATTCTGAAGGTGCCGCGAGCCTTGAGGGGCGCACTCACTACTGCATCAAGCTGTTTCGACGATGTTAATATCTCTCGTTTGCACGTCCCTTTACACCAGCAAGTGCCAGCAACATACTCGCAACTAAGATTCTGCATCTAGTTCGTCGTGAGGCAGACCAGTACCTTCACCCCCAGATCGACATCTTCACTACAGGACGGCCATTCGGAACAGCACTGCGGTGTCCGGGTAGCACACTCGCATCCAGGCACATTGCGCGAATGGACAAGCTGCAGAAGGACCAAGCAGCTGCGTGCACCTTTCACGGATAGAGACTGCTCGAGGTGATTCCAGGTGAATGCATGCAGCGAACCCGGGCCCAGGTGGTGATGTTCTTTTTATTGCGGGTCTGGGGTGGGGGTGGTGTGCATGTGCGGGTGAGTGGCTGCGTTTGGGTCTGCCTGCAGCTTCACGTTCTCAGTGATGTCAGGGTGCAAGACTGAACAACGCATGCGCAATGCTGCTTGCACACAGTGGCGTTTTTGGGTCCAAGTTCTTCCACACAGGACAGTCGTCTAAACAACTTATTAGTTGTTTGTGAGAGCCATTGCCTTGAGTGACTGTGAGGTTTTAAATGCGAGCTGTTGTGAACTGTACATGCCGAAGGGCGGGACCTCTCGAGACCGGCCAAGTGGCAACAGGATCCGATTGCAGGTGTGAAGAACAGACTCGCCAAGCGTATGTAGATCATTGGAAACGGTAGCGAGAGCTTGTGTGAAGGAGAAGCCGTTGCACAGGTTATGAGCCCAACCTACGTACCCAAGGGCTTGTAGTTGAAGAAGGGTTCATCGATTTAGCAGTCGTCGCCGCGCCAGATCAGCTGGAGCACAGAGACCGCGTGACAGTGAGATACAGTGAGGATGCTGTGAGAGGGAGTTGTTGCAGTTGCATGACAGACAACGACAACCTGAGCAGGTCGTAGGTGACCCAAGGGAGCTAGCTTACCTTGGGACTGAGGAATCAGGGAGGAGTTGGCGCAGCAACTGGAAGTGCAAGCAGCATCGAAGGGTCGGAAGCGCAAGTAGCTGTGAATCCATTCCGGGCTGATAGGGCAAAAACAGAGGTCGTATTGCAAGCTAACAGGCCAAGCAGCAACTTGCGATCAACGCAAGTGAAGCTTTAGCCAATCCCGTGGGTCAGCCCACAGTTTTTGGGCCCAGCATATAAAGCCGTACACTGAGTGGGGATCCAGATTCCAGCAGTGCTTTAAGCCAAAATGTGGATGCAACAACGCGCGGTAGTAGCGGTAGCTCGGCTGGAAGGGGTGCGAAAGCAGGGGGAGACCCCTTGCCGGAAACCTCTGGCAAGCAATCGTCACCGCCGGAAAGGCAAGTGTTGACCAAGATGAAGGATTTGATGAAGAGCATGCTTGAGCAGAAGCGTTTTCTGACAGAGCAAACGCTGCAATGGCGAAGCGTTTGGAGAAGTTGGAGAAGGAGCAAAATAGCATGCATTCAGCCACGTCGCGAGCGGAAGCGTTAGAGCCTAACCATTGTTCGGGGGATCAGCCGCAAGAGGGTTGGGATGATTGGGTCATGATTTGCAGCAGGGATGGTGCTCGACTAGAGAAGAGTCACAGAGGCCGCCGCCGTCAGTTGCTGATCTTGATGTTGCGGTTGAGTGTAGCACACCCCGAAACCCACCGAGTCGCGAACACAGGGTTGAAGTCCTGAACATTACACCCCAAGGTAGCCCTGTACCCCCGGGTCCTCCGCTGCAAGGCGTGAGCGAGGTAACAGGCCTGCGTCCAGTTGAGCCGTACGTGCATGGCGTTGGGCCATTGGGCTTGTTTGAGAGTTGTGGAGGTCAGACGTTGTCCGTGCCTACACAAACACGCGTAGCATTGGGACACATGACGTTCCGCCCATTGCACCCTCATTGCCACCAACTGGCATGCCACAGTTGCCACCTTTGGGGAATCCACAGCATGAGACTGGAAATCCTCGTGATCCATATGGTCCAGGGGACAAGGTTTGGTGGCAAGTGCCTGCGCTTGAAGCTGTCAGTAGGGGTCAAGACCCAGCATCACGAGCATCAGATTGGCTTGAAATGTTGCGACCTATTATGCCGATTTAACCCACACTCAGTAGGCTCTGGTGGGAGTGCGTTATGGCAGAAGGTCGGGCTTGGTATGACCGCCGGGTCGTATCATCGGCGCTAGACAAAGGATGCATTGTGCCGTTGATGTCCGGAGAATTGAGTGATATTCGGTATCGACGATTGGAAAGTCGTGCGTATGCGATGCTACAGGGGTCGGTACCGCAAAGTGTGGGTGATGAGCTTGTCGCCAGTCGCTCCATGCATTGTGTTGGTTTGTTGTACCACGTGTTGCGAACATTCCAGCCGGGACGACTAGTCTGCTTGATCAGGAGTCGCATCGAAGGCATGGATGTCGTATCGAAGCTTCGGGCATGAAATCGCTAATGGTTCGCACACAATACATGGGTGTGCGCATACCTGATGCTGGTATCATGGTAAGGCGTCTCGATGTCATGGTACTTGTAGAGAAGTTGTTGCAAAAAACGTGTTCATGTCAATTTCCGTTGTTTGGTAACGCGTACCATGTTGCACCTTGACCAAAGGCCATGTTTGTCTGCAGTGCAAGAGTATGCGAAGGCGCTTCAGAGTGAGTTTGAAATGCTTGCTGTATCAGGTACTGACGACAGCAACAAGAAGCCCAAACTCAGCGCTTTGCAAACCGATGACAAGCAAAACCCCAAATCCAAGGGCGATCCCAAAGGAACTGGCAAGGGAAACCCCAAAGCATCAGGAGCTGGAGGGAACTCCGAGCTGCCAACTAAGGGGGGTGTGCAAAAGTGCCCATTTTGCTTGACAGCGAACGGCTGCCGCAATGGTAGAGACTGTCCCACTGCTCACTCGTTTTGGCAAGCCAGAGGCCAGGGTAGGTATTTTAGGTGCGGTGCTGAAAACCATCGTGAAGAGGAGTGCGCCCGACCTGAGCGGAAAGGCAAGGGAAAAGGCAAAGGGATGGAGCAAGGCTCCTTGGAGCAGTCAGGATCAGGAAACTTTCCAAACTCCAAAGCTTCGCCGAATACAGCCCTCGTTGGCCTTGCGCCAGACCCGATGCCCAGCTCAACGAGAGGCACGAATTGCTGGCGCAAAGCAACATAGGTGGAGAAACAGCACATGCCGCAGCATTGCGGAACTGCTCGACTTTTCTTCTCTCGTTGTGTTTCCTGTCGGGTCTGCTGAGAAGATCTGAGAAGTTGTGGGATTTGAACTAGTCTGTGGCAGAATGTTGGCATCCAAGAGCTGTCTCCAGAAGCTCGTTGGACGGTGTTGCAATGCCTTCGTCACACTGTTCTTTTTGGCCGCTGCACGGCCTTCAAAATTTCATGTGAGGAAACAAGCTGGAAGCCTTGGAGAAATCTTGATTCGTAAAATGGTAATACTCCTTGCAAGAATTCGAACTTCCGACTGGCATTCCTGTCTGAAAAGGGTGTATGGTCATAACAGAACCGCGCTGTTCAACTTCTGGAGTTTACCGTGCTTCACGTGCCCGAGATTGAGTAGTCACGATCGCCGGAAAGCCTTGACATAAGCCCAGTCATGTAGCCAGGACGTGGAGGAAGCACACACCGCCTTCGAGCAGGCCTGGCACATGGAGCTGGATGTCGCGACGTTTGCAACCGGGATCTCAGCATATGATGGGATATGATATGGTGTGGAGGTTGTGGCCCTCCGCCGCGGTGGTGAAGCGTACGTCGCAGCTGCTGAGATCAATTAGTGCTCGAAGGAGAGTCAGATCCGAGGTTCTACATGCAACCTTGTCAGTCTGCCTTCAAAGCCTTCAATGTTTCGGGCCTCCCACTCCTCACCACAGTCCCGCGAACAGGCAGACTATTCAGGAGCATTCCGTTTTTCAACCTCTCTGGTCAGTCGAGCCCCTTTCGAAGGCTTTGCAATCTTTGGAGCGACTTTCGGGTTTTTGGCCGTCTTCTTCAAAGTAGCTAGCCCTTTCGAGCTGTCCTTTCGAGCGTTCTTTTGGACCTCATGCGCAGCTTCTCTAGCGGCGTGGGCTCTTGTTTCGGCCAACCTCAGGCTGGCAATGAAGCGGCGGGCCTAGTGGAGCCGCAGGCACACCCAGATCCGAATGTCCCATTGCTTGGCTTGGTCACCTTCTTTCGATGCTGTGAATCCAAGTGGCCCGGGAGCAGGCACCTGCAGTCAACGGACTGCATCTTGAATGAGCCGTGCACCTAGGCGGTATTGCAGTCGGCTGAGAGGGTCAAGACGAAATGGTAATAAGCGTGCTGGTGCTCGTGCTGGGGCGGACCACCAGCAGCACCGCCAGAAGCACCGCCAGCAGCACCACCACCAACAGCACCACCAGCACCACTACCATCACCTGCACCACCAGTCCCGGACCAGCACCAGCACCAGCACCTCCACCACCACAACCAG